ATGCCCCCGAGCACGCGGTGCAGTTCATAAAACGAAAGTAAGTGTGCAGCGTTTGTCGGCCACTAGGCACAGCCTCCGCCGCTGCTGCGCCCTGCGCCTTGAAGATAGGTCACCAACTCTACAGCTGCTCCATGGCTGCGCGTCAGCCCGGCGGATAGCCTCATAGCGAGGCCGCTTTCAAGCGACGGCACGCTGACGGTTATTTCCCGTACTTCCCCGCTATTGAATTCCCTCCCCTCATGCAGGCGGCGCAACGCAGTCTCTGCATTCAATCGGTAATTTTCTTGTGGCCGCCGCCCACTAACCTAACTCCACGCCAGCACAGGCCGATGCCGAATGCAGGCAGAGAGCCCAGAGCCCAGATGGCCCAGATTCACCCGATTCACCCCTTATTTCCCCCCCCCCATCCCTCCATCTCTCCATCTCTCTCTTTCTCGCCCTCTCCACCTTAAATCGATTTTTCATCCCTTTCGGTAGAGGGCGCTGGGGATGAACAGAAATGGCTGATCTGTGGTGTGTAGACCTCTTATAAATCGCAAGTATTATGGTTTGATGCCTGTTTTACAGATCCTCTGATAAAATAGAAGTGTAGATTGCTTTAGATTTCATTTCAATCGATCCTCCGGCATGTCACCTCGCAAACATGCACAAAAGTTGTGTCGCTTAACCTTTATATCCATGCAGTTGTCAGTACTTGCAAACCTTTCTTTTCTTTTTTTTTCCAAAAATACCACGAGCTTAGATCAACTGAAGATTTATTTAAAGTTTCATTTTGCAGTCTCGATGCCTCAGACGAGTTGCGTTACCCAACGCAACGCATTTTACTTATTGATTGCTAGTCCTTTTCCATTCCTAATTTAGATATTTTTAACCTCCATCCAGATAGAGAAGGTACTGACAGTGATAGGAGGCTCTTTTTCTTTACTTATCTCAAAAAACAAAAAAAATCATTATCATGTTTGTTTTTAAATTGGTACCTTCATTAAATTTCTTGTTCTAATATCAGCTCTTTGTGAACAGATGTGTCTTCGACTGGGGAAGTCATAACAAAAGAATGCACAGAGAGCTCCTCTAAAATGTCAGATGAAGCAAATAGTATTAACGCAGGTACAGTTTGTTTAATTGCTTGTAAGCTAAGAGTTTCCTGCCATGACTTACTCTTTCAATGGTAATTTTCAGCTCTACCCAGCTTATTGAAAGCTTTAGATGAATGCCGGACGTCACTTCCAGCCACCAATGAAGCGTTTAATTTTATCACTGGTGTTCTGAAGTCCCGCGAACTTAACGCACTTGTGAATGTGCATAGTCAAATCTCTAATAGAGTCAATGACGACAGTTTCCATCCAATTGTTTCTAATGGACTCCAAATTGCTGCTGATGTCCTAGACTTATTAACAACCAGGAAAAATTTGTCAGCTGATTTTGAAGAAATTTGTTCCTTGTTGAAGAAACCACACATTCAGGTTTGTGCCTGAAGTCAGCTTTTTTCAAAGACTTTATGGGTTTTGTTTTAATTTCTCCTGTATTACCATTCCCTAATGTTTCACAGAGATTACTGGATGCTCATGATGCTGTAGCTCAGAAGGATTACAACCCTCGACTATCAGAGTTACCACCCGATGTTGACAAGGATGAAGAAACAATTAAAATTGCTCAACTAGTAAAAAGCGATGAACCTTTGGTAAGTTAATATTAATTGATTAACTCTTTTTTCCCTCCCCTCTCTCTTTCTGTGCAAATGCAATGCATGAAGCCTTTATTTTATGCTTACCTCTCTTCACACCGAATTGGAGCAAAACCCATTAGAGTGAAATTTGTCTAAATCGTTTGTCAGGACAACAACCATAACTTATCAGTTGTTTCTTTCAATGCTTTGTTATTCAGTTTTCCCAAGAAGGAAAAATGTTGTTTTGGGTACAAGATGTGACCAATTATAGTTACCACAGTGAAACCTACATATAACAGATTATGTTGGATCTTCCGATGGTCCTTTGTTTACGATTTCAATGGGAATTGCCATTCTTTTATTTCTTGGCTTTTAAGAAATTTTCGTGACGGTCCCTTGAAATCCGTTATATGTTGGTTTCACTGTATTTTGCATGTTTGTAATTGTAATTGTGCTGTCATTCTTCCGTCATTGGTTCAGTGGTCTATATCTCTGTCAAAAAATGTAAAAATTCTTCATATTGTCTACTAACAGTATCATGTACTATTAAAAGTTGTACTGTGATTTCCCTCAAGCAGTGGTTGGTGTGCTTTTGAACCTCTTTCCCTCCCCTGTTATCCTTTCCATTGTTTGGTTTTCAGTGTGTTTAGTGTTCATTGTCTTTGTGTATTTTTTAATTATTTTTTTTACTATCTCATAGTGTTGAAAATTAACAGTTTGTTGTTTTGTGCATCTGATTGTATATTGTCTTTTCTGACTTTGCTTTCAAAGGGGTCTGCTCAAAGTGCCGAGCCTATTGTGGTAAGTGGTGTGTGGTCCTGAGCTCTCCTCTCCATCATGGGTTGCAGTAAATCCTCTTCCTTTAGCTTTGCATGATTTAACCTGTTGTAAAGTATACTATACTTTACAATACTATGGTTCATTTTTTTTAAATGTATGAATGATTTATATATTTTGGTGTGACTTGGGTGTATTTATGTATAACAAATTAGCTCATTCTTATTTGTACATTTTATGTAGTGATTCTAATATCTTTTATTCTAAATCTGGTAGAAATTCATTGAACCAGATTAAAACAGAGGATTTCTGTATCTTTCTTACAAGTTCTTAATTTTACTTTCTAGTTCTCAGTATGTTATTCATTTGAGGATTTTAATTATTTTCAAAATAGTTCCTTACTTCTTTTCTGTAGATGCATTTTCTAAAAATAATAATTGGTTGTAGAGGTAAGCTTTTGGTAGTAAACGGATTTTGTGTTTGAAGTATGACTTGAGCATGTCTCTTGCATTTTAGTCCCTAGCTATACATGCGGATCATGCAAGCTGATGCCAGCTACATTTAAAGGTGCCAGAAAAAAAGAGGTAATATTTTATGAAAGCAAAGAAAATTTTTGGACTTTCACTTTTTACTTTATTTTACCCTTTTAGCCATGCTTTACGTTTTGTATCCTTTTCAATTTGCTTTTAACGGTGGTGTGTCACGTCACCAGTAGTACTAGACATGACAGGTTGTCCTCAAAATAAATTTTTTCCACAAATTTTCATTCCACCATATTTGTTTAATTTTAAACCACACCCTTTTAACCAATGTTGAAATTGGAAAGTCAGGGTAGGCCTGTGCGGTTTAGAATCAAATAAATACTGTAGATCTTGGCATGCAAATCTTGGTTGATCACATGTTTCTTCGTTCGGAATGTTAGAACTATACTTTATCACAGCTCACTTAATTCTAATCTATATCTTTATGGTTGATGATGGCACTCTAGGGGTCAAGGTAAGCATTTAGTAATCAGCATGTGATAAGGAAGTGCTATTTTTCCTGCATGTTTCTTTTCTTGTGCAGTTTTTGTATCATATTGTTTTTGTTTTTTTTGCTCATGCCTTAATTATAATTTATTATTCTGGCCCAATATGTGTGTGCTTTTAGTACATGTATTTTTTCATTGTCCCTCACTTCAATTGAGAACGTAAATCAATGTTTAATACAGCTCTGTAATAAATTCAAATCTCTCAAAATATGAACTTTCTCACATATTTCTAATAATTACATGTATTTTTCATGCTTCTTCTTCTCTATTTTTTGCTTGAATGTGATTTTACCAATAGGAAAAGACCAATTACTAGGGTAAAGGCCTGGCGGGTAAAACTCCAAAACGGGAAGAATTCTCACTCTATTTTAGGATGTAGTTAAGGAATTTCTCTCCCAAGTGAGGATGTAGGTTGTATAATGAACTCAGTATGCAGATAAGTTCAAAAAATATAAATGTGTATTCCCTTGACTCTGAGATAAACCCCACATTCGACTGTACGATTTTTTCCCATGTGTGACTTTTGCCCGCCTTTACCATATCTCAGGCTATTATTTGTCATACAGTTATTTCTATTACTGTTGTTTCATTCCAGTTAAATTCTACTTGTCAATTTGGTTCAGTCTGTTTTTGCACTTGTTTTAATTGATTATTATTTGTCTCTACAGGGTGCAACTATAGCAACAGATGAGCAAACTGGAAAGTATGTTGTTGCTAGGGTCTTCCATGGAGGTGCCGCATATCGATCAGGACTTATCCATGTGGGCGATGAGGTTTGGGAAGTTAATGGCATCAATGTAGAGTGGAAGCCTCCAAGTGATGTGTTAAAAATTCTTGTAAGTACACTTTGGTTTAAAGTACTTGTATTGCTTCAATCAAAGCGGTCCGTCCAACAACATAATGGAATGGTCTTTTTTTCTTTTTTTTTTTTTTCGGTAATTGCAGCAAAACTCTGAAGGCACAATCAAATTCAAGCTTATTCCAGCTGACAGAAAACTTGGTCACTGTGAAAGTAAAGTCCGAGTTCGAGCCCATTTTGATTATGTTGCTTCTTTAGATCCGTTTATTCCTTGCAAAGAAGCTGGTTTGGACTTTGTGAAAGGAGATATTTTACACATCGTAAATCAGGATGATGGAGAATGGTAAGAAACAATACATAACTCTTTACTAAGGAAATGTCAATTTAAAGTCTTAACTGTATCCTTGTTTTCTTTTAAATACCATAATTGCTGAAGGTGGCAGGCCCGAAGAGACGGGGATAGAACTACTCGTGCAGGACTTATTCCAAGCAGGGCACATCAAGAAAGAATGATTTTACGTGAAAGGTCTCAGATTGGAAAACGTGCTGACCAAGGTAAATGGCTTCCCTATTCATGTTTCTCATTTGACTGTAAGATGTTGCTTTGGGTATTTTCAGTGATATCATTGAGAATATTATTTTTTAGCCATTATTCAAGCACCAAAATGTTTTCAATCTAGAATTAAAAGCAGTCTGCTAATTTTTATTTTTTGGTATTAGATTATTATCAGGATACTATGTTTAGATACAGTTTTGTTTTCCATTTTGGTAGTTTCCTTTGATAAGCTTTTCCATCACCTAGCATGAGACGTTTACTCATTGACTTCCCTAGATTGTATTTTGTAATCTACAATATCCTAATTTTTATCTCTCTCTCTTAATTAACACAGCTTATAGTACATCTCTGAGCTTAATTTTTTTTTTCTGCTTGTTAGGCCCTGAGTCCCCAACAGGGCTGTGTCTTGTTTCAGCATTTTCTCCTTCCCTTGCTTCCCTGACCGGCTGCAAATCCTCTCTTCAATTATCACCCCATTGTGCCTCTCGGACCAAAACTAAGAAGATTATGTATGACTCTACAGAGAATGATGATTTTGACCGTGAAGAAATTCCCACGTACGAAGAAGTGGCCAAGTTATATCCTAGGGCTGGAATTTACCGTCCCATTGTAATGATTGGGCCACCTGGTGTTGGACGCAATGAACTTCGTAGAAGGTTGATTGCAACAGATGCAGAAAAATACCGCACCCCTACACCTTGTAAGGAGGAAAAACTTAAATTTCATGTAAACCAAGTTATTGTTTGAACATGGAAATTATTTGAACCTAATATGTGTCTTTTATCTATTTTAGTTACCTCCCGGCCCATGAGGCCTGGTGAAGTAAATGGAAAAGAATACTACTTTGTGACCAGAGAAAAAATGGAGGAAGATTCTGAGGCTGGAAATTTTATTGAGTTTGGAGAGTACAAAGGAAATTTGTATGGCACATCTGTCGAAAGTGTTAAGATGCTTGTGGGGGCCGGACATGTTTGTATAATGAATCCTCATTACCAAGTAAGTTATTTTTCAGGAGGAAGTGTAAGTCCTCTTAAGTACCATATTGAAACAAACAATAAATTCCGGTATCTAACCCCCCTGCCAGGCTCTGAAAATGCTGCGTACACCTCAGCTGAAACCTTTCATCATTTATATAAAGCCTCCAGCATTTGATGTTTTAAAAGAAACAAGGGCTGTAGCCTATGCAAGATCAACTTTTGATGAAAACAATTCAAGAGGTTTCACTGTAAGTTACACACAATTTGTTGTATACAGTTTCTTCTCTTCTAGTTGTACTTTGTCAATGTTTTTCTGTGTTCTAGGATGATGAATTTAAGGAGATACTTCAAAGTGCAGAACGTATTGAGTTTTTGTACAGTCATCTGTTTGATGAAATTATTGTAAATGCAGATTTGTCTGCTGCATTTGAACAGCTTGTTCGAGCTGTGAATAGAGTGGAAAATGAACCTCTGTGGGTACCAGCATCATGGGTGCAGTGATGCTTTGTTCATTTAAAATGGCACAGTGTGATGTTTATAAGGTAAAATATAAATGGGTGGAAATTTTTTGATCATTTTGTGAGGCGCTATGTTTATCTACATTATTTTACAGTTATGCTGTAGCATAGTTGTAGCTGTGAAGACGTGTGAAGAGCAAGACTAAACTTCCCCTGGTGCATTGTGCATCATCTTGTTCTTCCATGGCCCTTACATCTGCTCAATAAATTGGTTGGGTATTCCAAGTTAGTCATGCTATGTAATCTAGTCAAGTGTTGTTGCAATATTTTTATAAAACTTATGTCACTACCTAACACATTGACTGTGTCATGAGTCATTCATTATTGAACTAGCAAAGCCTTTATATTTTTATTTTTTAGGTTTTTATAAAAATCAAGAATACCCTTTTTTAATAATATTTGAGACATTACTTTAAATCTTGTCACAAAAATAAGTGTTTTAATTTATTTTTATTTTGCTTATGTTGACATGCAATGCAAGCTTTTTGGAGTCTCTTTCTCAGCTGTTTGTTGGGGCAGTCAGCGCCATTTTTGTGTGCCAATTTAATCACCACCAAATGCTTAGGTAGGTTCACATTCTGTGATGTAAAGCAAGGTTATGTTTTAAAATTTATAGTCCTACTAGTTTTTTCTAGAAATGTGACTATTCCAGTTTGGTACTTCACCATGTAGGATAAAGTGCTGACATTTCAGAGATCTCCTCTCCCTTCATTCTTAACTGCATACGTCATAATACAAGTATTAATGTTGGATTGAAGTCAGAGAGGTGTGGCAGGAACAGTTTTAGGTGATATCTTTCCCTCTTATAAACATGCTTTTTTACTTCATGTTCTTATTAAAATTTTCTTAAAAATAACTTTTGTGATTATATATCTTTTATTAAAAGAAAAAGAACAATCTAGCTTTATAAAATCACAACCTTTTCTCATAATTTGTGCAATATTTAGGTACTTCCTGTTTCTTGTTATAATTTTTTTTTTTGTGATGTGGATGTCTTCAATCCCAACAGTCGGCAGGCTGTCTGGTTTATCTCTGTGGCAATACAGCCCTGACATTGTTCTGTTCTACTAGCTTCATAGGATCCTATTCTAACCCTCAACCCCTTTTTTCCCCTTATGTCTAACAATTTCTCTTTGATCATTGACTCATTTTCATGTGCATATGCAATTGAAATCATCAATTTTTTTGTTGTTGTTAAACGAATGCAAAATGTGCATTGATCATAATGTTGTTTTTTTTTTAATTGTTAATTTTTTTTTTTTCTGTTTATGTCATAAGGATCAAATTGAAGCAACACTAATTGTTAGTTTTAACTGCAAGGAATTGTCTCGTAGTACTCATGAATCGTACTATGAATCAGTATCTATAAGCAATCTTTAATAATCATGTGAGACTCAATCATGTATCACGTTATATCAATCATGTACATTGTTTGCAAGTCTGATTCTAAAGCAGTCAAATGCCATGTTTGTCATTGTTATTACTTGTGTAAGTGAAATATCCTAGCTTTATATGATTTCTTTGACCATAAATTCAAAAACTTATAAGATTCTTGGGTTTTACTTTTTGCATCATGAAAGTTATCAAAAGAGTTTGAGCTTTATCATCTCCCTAGATTGTTAAAATAATCGAGTCCTTTTCAAATTTCTAATCTTTACAGCACATATTGTTTGCTTGCACCAAGATTTATGAAGTTCATAGAATTGTTTGTATTTATTTTGTTAGACGTGTATTAACTGTTATGTACATAATTGAATGTTGAAAGTGAATCTTCCGTTTCTCTGACTTACTTGAAATTGAAGTTGCTAGTGCCTGAATATATGACCTTGCCTTCCTAAATTTCTTGTGTATTTGATTTGTAGTAACTCTGATGTCACATACATCAAGAGACTAGGGCTTATCCATAAGCCCTAGTCTCTTGCATACATACCAACTCATTAAAACTGCACTATTGGAAAAGGTGGGAGATACATGTCAGTAAAAATACTATTCGTTAATTTTTACATTCTTGCCACACTTCTTACTTCTTCATCCCTTCTCCATTTCTATAAAAGTACAGCTTTGAACTTTTCTGCTTGTTTTGTGTAGGTTACCTGTACATGATATGCTGAGAAAGGCACTGAAAACAGGGGAGAGTTGAGAAGTAGATAATCTGTTAATGTTTCATACATGGTATACATATCTTTACTAAGAATGCAAGGTTCCAAACAGCAATAAGACAAGAAAATAAGTACTGTTGCATCTTTATCGTACAAAAAAGAGTTAATAAATGTTACCAGTCCCAAGTACAGTCATCTTTAGGAATGTGTAGATGCAGAAACTTTTTAAGAATTGTTATTCTGCTGTCCTCCAGAATAATTTCTGGATACAAACTAACACATGATTTCCCCCTCTACTTCATAAAAGTAATACAGTAAACTAGGTTGCATTATCTCCTCCAAGATGATAATAATCAAACAAAACAAACAAACATAAAAAAGAAGAAAAGATTTTCCACGGTCATTTACTTTCTAGTTGAACATTTAGAGTGCTTGATAATACTGAGACTTTCATCAACAGAAGAAAATCCAGAAACTAAATGGATACTGTGGAAAAACCACATTACAAGTGATAGACAAACATTAATAATACACTTCTCATTTCAAACTCATGGAGAACACCATCACAAGGAACACACCTAGCCAGCAGGTTAAAGGGTGAAAGGTTCTGTAGACTTTGACAAAGCATCTCAATATACGAAGTAATAACATACAATCAGTGGAGGAGAAATGACTGAAAAGTACTTCAGGCATGCATGTAATAAACTAGTAGAAAGGTACACAATAGATAGAAAATAATAGCAATAAAAAAATACAAGTAGAAAGATCAACATTTTGTACGCTGATTAGGTAAGATCAAAAACACAAATACTAAATAGGACACAGGTATAAATGATCACAGAAAACTGAGCAGAATTGATTACGTACGATGAGTTGCAGTTACAATGCACTAGACTTGATTGGTGATTTTGAGTTCCCAGAATTTTTTTTGTCCATCCCCAGGGCTTGTTTAAGAAGTTTTGCCACACTCTTCTTCTCAGATTGGTCATTTTCTATGAGAAAGAGCACCAAAAATTTAGCACGAAACACTACAGCCTTAACAAGTACAAATTCAAGTAAAACAAATTTATACCTTCATTAGTAGAGACTTCCTTTTCAAGCAACAGTTTTTCTTGGGCCAAAGTCATAATATTTTCTTCAATGGTTCCCTTACTTATTAGGCGTATAACCTTTACAGGCCTAAAAAGGTAATGAGGATGAGAAACTTAACATTTGTGGACAGTATCATATGTAGTACTTTAAAATCAGAAAAAAAGTGGTAACTACCTTTGATGAAACCACCCAACTTACTTTGTCTGTCCTATGCGATGGCAGCGGTCCTCAGCCTGCTTATCATTATGAGGATTAGGATCCACATCATGAATGATGACTGTGTCAGCTGAGGTAAGATTGATACCAAGCCCACCAGCGCGGGTAGATAACATAAATATAAGTATAGTTGTATCTCGGTTATATTCGTCAATAAGATCTTGCCTGCATCAAAATCAAAGTTAATAAACCGTATATTGTTTCCTAATCATACACAGAGGAGAACCTAATATCCAGTCACCTCTGGGGTACTGGTGTACTGCCATCAAGACGAAGGAATTTGTAGCCTTTGTGCTTAAAAAATTCCTCCAATACATCCAAGACAATTACAAACTGAGAAAAGATAAGAACTCTGTGTCCTTCCTCTTGAAGTTTGGGCAACAGTTTCTCAATTTCTTTGAGTTTCCCTGACTCTCCCATGACACTAGGTGGGAGACGTAAGTTGTAGCATGTCTGTAGAAAGAACATGGGAAAATCATATTAAAAATTTCGGTAGTTTCATCCAAAACTGAATAAAGAGAAAAATTGATGAGCACCTTATATTCAAGGCACATGTTGTGCAATTCAAAATCAGACATAACATTGAGATCGTCCAGGATATACTGATACACAGTGTCTTTATAAATAATATCTTTCTGTAATCTTTTGGCCATTTCTTTAATAGTGTCATCCTGTTCAAAAGAAAACATAGGTTAAACTTTCTAAATCATAAAAATACAGTAGCAAACAGAAACCCAAGAAATTGTGGCTACCTTAAAATGGTATCTTAATAGCAATGGGTGATTAGCTAGCCTTCTGAGTTTCATGTACATTGCCATACCACTCTCTGATGGTTCACTGGGATCATCACCATTCAATTCCTAAAAATTGTATTAAGACACCCATCAGAACATTCCATTACTGCTAGAGCTCATGCAAATGTAACAGAAATTTTTGTAAGTCAAAATAAGGGTTACCTTTGCAGCCTGCCTTGAAAACATAGCTATCAGTTCATTATATTTTTGCTCTTGATCCTCAGTCATAGGGCAATGCATTAATTCATCTGTTTTCTGAGGTAAATCCTTGAGGACATCACATTTTAGACGACGTAGCACAAATGGTTTCATAATGTGCTTTGCTTGAAATATTTGAGTGCGTTCAAATTCCGGCAAAGAACTTTCTGAATCACTTTTATTATTTTGCTGTTTCTGTTGATAATTCCAAACAATACAGATTTGTGATAAAAAGGCATCAGTAAAAATAGTCAGGAGATCTACAGTTAAAAAATACTTACTGATCCCTTTGTAAAAAGAGCTTTTAGTGTTTCTTGTTTTCCTTTGAATAATTTAGGCATCACAAATACCAAAAGGGACATAAGCTCCAACAAATTATTTTGTAAGGGAGTGCCTGTTACCAGCACTCTATTAGGGGCCTGGGAATCAGAACAAAAGGAGAATTTTGTAAAATATAACTACGACAGTCAAAAAGTAACCAGAAAAGTTAATGGAAAAAAACTGATAAAGTGAATCCAAGATTGAGAACATTGAAGTATGATTAATCATCCATCAACTATTACTCCATTACTCACATTGATCTTGATTAGTTGTTCATATCTTTGAGTGTACATATTTTTCAGCATGTGTGCTTCATCAAATATGGCGTAATGTAATGGGATAATCCTAAACATTTTTCGCTCCTCTGGGCAACTTGTAATCATTCCATATCTATGAAATTAGAAAAAATTAAGTGAGCAAAGTGACAGCAAATGGTCAGAAATTTTAATCTCCATCAAAATACTTACGTAGTTAAAACCACTTCTGTGTCACCAAAACCATTTTGGGACCACTCTATCCTCTGATACTTCCGGTCTTCTTGGGATCCATAATACACACTTACGTTCATACTAGGACTCCATCTGGTAAATTCATTTTGCCAATTTTCTAGAAGATGAAATATTTAAGAATTTTGAATTTAAATGAAAAATATAAATGTATTAATGGATCCTTTACTAAAATAATTCTTACCAAGTGTAGAAGCTGGAACTACAATGAGGTGAGGTTTACCAGGATTTGCAAGTTTTTTCTCTTTCAAGTATGAAAGAAATGCTATAATCTGCACCGTTTTACCAAGACCCATCTCATCAGCCAGTATACCATTAACTTGATGAGTATTCAACACGAGTAGCCAGTTAAGTCCAACTAGTTGGTAGTCGGAAAGTTTTAAACTGTACAAAGTAATTTCAAAACAGAGTAAGAATTAGGAAACAGTAAATTGAAATGATGCAAGACTGCAGAGTACGTAAGGACTTACTTTTCTGACATGATACTTGGTTGTGACTGGACATCAGAGAGCCCAGCAGCAACAGCAGTTTCCATTTTACTAGCAAGCTTTCCACACTTTCTTATAAGTTCTGCAGCTACTTCCCTAGTTTGCAGTAATTCCTGAGCAGCATTGAGAACTTCACATCCAGCCCCACCTTTCTTTTGTAGTTTTTCAACCAAATGTTTCCAACCATCAAATGGACGACTTTCTATGATTAACTCAGCTTTCTTCTTTGAGCATTGCATTTTTTGCAATTCTGCCAAATCAGACTGACAGAGGAACATAAAGACTTTCTTCTTGTCGCCTGATAAGTCATCTGAGACTTCTTCATCTGAGTCTGCATCACTGAGTTATATAAAAATATTATTCAACTGGCACAACTTCTACCAGAACCTTGAATAAATTTGTGTAGTACAGAAACCCTCACCTGTCATATACTTTTCTCTTTTTATAGCCCCGGCCGTCGTCATCTTCATCACTTTCATTGTCTTCATCACAAGAATCCATTTCCTTTTTCTTTTTTTTACCTGCAAACAAAAATGTTACAATATATATCTTGAAAAGAGGTGATGTACCTAAATAGTTATTTGCTATCCACAATAACGTAACAGGCCACTCTTGAACATGACATATTTTAGTTTTCATACTAACAATGTGTTAGAGATTTTTTTTTCTATGTATCTCTGATACATACCTATTTTTCCTACACCATTTAATTTCTTTTTAATGGTCACATCTGAAGTTGAAGTATTAGAAAAAGCTTCACTGAGAATGGTCTTAGCCTTACTGACACTGCATCCAGCTTTAAAAAGAGCATCTTGAAGAATCTATTGAGATATTAGAAAAGCTCATTAAAATCAGATGCATGCTGCATCATGAGACAAATCATATAATTCTTAAACATTCCAATATTTTAACTCAAAATTAAGGTTACAACTAACCAAAATATCTTTGCCAGGAAAAGCATCATGAAGATCTTTCAAAGCATTTTCAAGACTTGTACGTCCTTCTTCATCAATATCTAATGGCTTTGATTTCTTACTACTTCTTACACCTGAGAAACAAAGATGCAAACTGCTTAAATTCCAAACTCATTGACAATCTGCCTTTGGACTTAAAAGTAGAAAGTTTGTTGGAAATAAAATGTACCATTGGGTTTCGGACTGTCATCCTCTGTATCAGAACTCAAAACTTTCGCTTTTCTTTTACCAGGTTTGATTGGGCTTTCTAGAGGACTTTCATTATCATTACCTGTAAAGAAAATTATTGTGTGAAGTATCCACCAGTAAAACAATTTTTTTTTTTCAAAGTTCTAATTTGGTGTACATCATCTAATGGTCAATCATCCAACAGTTTGAAAGAATTTTGCTTCATGTGACAAGACAATATAACTGAGTTTTACTTTGCTTTGATACCAAACTTACCTCCATTTTCCAGAGAAGATGAAGGCGTATTGTGGGGAAATTCTGTTTTTAATGCAATTGATATAGATGATGAAAGTTCTTTAATTTTATTGTTTATTGAAGACGACTCTTTAGAGGGTGAATGCACTGAATTGGAATCTATACCATTTTCTTGTTTAAGAGGTGACTTCTCTTTGCCATTGGGTACACATTTATCACTTAAAATTGATTTTTTCTCAAAACGAAATTTAAGCAATTTTTCCAGGGGGTTGTGAGCGCCTGAAGGTGACGCATCACTTGCTAAGTCTGACATGATTTTCTGAAAGGAAAACAGACAAAAAGATTAGATCATAGCCCTGTTATTATCGCTTAAAACTCATTTAATTCAGTTTTTGAGTTGCTATTAGAAGCAATGTTTGCAGTTGTGTTCATTCACCCTAAACTCGATAGAAAATCTGGACAATAAAGCTACATGGAAGATAAAGAGCTTTAATTGAAGTGAGACTACTCACAAACTGTCTAGGAAATGGAGATCAGTGATGATTCTTTTCAATGTAATATAACCACAACAAAGACAAGCCTTTCATTGTTGTCCTTTTTTAATACTTGGAAATAAATTAAAACACGCCACAATAAAAAAAGTTCAGTGTCATCTTTGAAGCTTATCGCGTATTATCTATGAAGAAACAAGCAACACTTAATTTCACAGCATGAAAGTTTGGCATTTTATACTTACTTAAACTATTCTCTATTCTTTTCTAGCGCTCCGTTCACTCGAGAGACTTCGGCTCGGCTCGGCGGCAGATTTACACAGACAGCAGCAGCACAGCAGATGCGTGATGCGTGAGCGTTAAATACTTTTTTCGAACTTGGCTTTCTTTCACACATTGCCGACCGACGTGTGTGGAACAAAGAAAAAATGCGGTAACATTCGGACACAGCCAGCATGAAGTAAGAAGAAAAAAAGTGAGAGCGGGACTGAATTTTGCCAACTTAACTTTTCATTCCTGGTTTGAGCGATGATCAAGCAATTACTGATAGAGCCAAAAATAAAACTTCACAAGTCAAGTTTAATTGTCTACCAATCATTAAAAGTGGAATGAATAAATGAACACCCACTTATTTTCAGGCAAAGTAAAATCGGTTTTTTCTTTCATGTTGATCAGAGATGCCACCCTCCTGTTTAGTTAGAGCCACAGAAACAAAAGAGGGTTAACTCACCTTACATTGCTGGTTAAATTTCATTACCATTATTGTTATTTTGATTTTTACTAGTGTCTTTATCACTGGAAATTCATGTCCCATGTTCTGGGAAACGTTCTTATGGGTACAGCGCACCACAATGAATCTTGAAGTGACTAAGTTTTGTTGAAAAGATGGTTGAATTAGAGAAAAGACTTCTGAAAAACATGGATTCGGTGTGTCGGCTCTGCCTGTCAGAGGACAGGAGCACCGTTTCAATATTTGACAGTAGTAACCAGAAACACTCCGTGCCTTTGCCAATTCTGATTATGACTTGCACTCAAATTCAGGTAAATTATTTCAGACATTTCAGTTTTACTTCCATAATGTTGGTTGACTTCACCAATGTTGAATTTCATTCATTCACATTGATTGATTCACTTTGATTTTCAATACACCACAATTTACAAATAATTCAGAATGACATTTTAATATTTATTTCATAAATTATTAAATGTGTCATGCAAGTTGCCTCTTGGAAATGTTTTCTACATTTGTGATGATAACCTCTGTGCTGAAGCTAATGCTGTTCAAATTTGTGACTTGTAGGTGTATGCTAATGACGGACTGCCAGCTCAAGCCTGTGAAGCTTGCATTGAGAAAGTTGAGTCGTGGTTTGAATTTAAGGGGGTGTGTACTCGATCTGATGAGAAATTACGCCAACTGATAATCAAGAAAGAGGTATACACAGGTTTATGAAATGGAGATGTTTTGTTATCTGTGACATATTCACCAATATTGTCTTAAACATTCAGGTTCTACCACATTGGGGAGAAGGAGCTATTCTCAGCAGTCCAAAGTCTGACGAAAACCGTCAGAACTCAAACTTTTGCCAGTATGAAAATGGGCAGTCTCAAGAAGTTGAGGTACCGGAAGTTGAGTGTGATGTTGGTTTTGCTTCTGACCGGTATGAGGATTCAGATTCTGAAAGCAGAACAGGACACGAGAAAGAGTCTCGGCGCTTAAACAGAGAAAGTTCAAACAAAACGAGGAAAGTTATGTTAGATCGTAATGAAACCCCAGACCACATACTAGGAATGGATTTCTCTTCACTGGAAAGTGATGAAAGTGGTTCTGAAGGAGATGAAGACTGGGATGAATACAAATGTGATGTCTGTGACAAAGTTTTAAAATCTGATGCCGCTCTTAAAAAGCATAAGTTAAACCATGCCCGAAAACGAAAGTTTCCTTGTACAGTTTGTGGTAAAGCTTTTCTTTTTAAAAATCATCAGGTGCGGCATGAAAGAAATTTGCATGGCAAGAGCATAAATGAGACCTTTTCATGTACTGAGTGTGACAGGAAGTTCACTCAAGACTTTGAGCTGAAAGCTCATGCTCGTATACATGCTAGTGTTATAACATTTGATTGTGAGTTTTGTCAAAAGGTTTTGCTCGACGAGACTAGTCTAGCTGACCACATGCGCATACATCTCAGTGAACGTCCACATGTTTGTGAAACATGTGGTAAATCATTCATTCGAAATTGTCATCTCAAGAAGCACATGTGGACCCATAATGAGGATGATAAACCCCATCGATGTACATATTGTGGAAAATCTTTCTTAACGGCTAGTTCCCTTCAGGATCATGTTCGCACTCACACTGGGGAAAAGCCATACCTGTGCACCCACTGCGGGAAATCTTTTTCTCAAGCACCAGCTTTAATCATGCATGAAAAAATTCATGCCACTGGACGTACACATCCTTGTAAATATTGCTCTAAAAGTTTTACCTCGGCAGTTGAAGTATCAGCGCATATGAAGGACAACCATTCTAGAGAAAAGCCTTTCACTTGTGGAACATGTGGTAAAACCTTTGCAATGCAGGTTGTTTATATGAAACACGTCAAAAGACATGAAAGTCTGTTTTTATGTAATGTTTGCGGTAAAACTTTTGCAAGCAAACAGTGCCTTAAGAGGCATGTTCGTATTCATACAGGGGAAAAACCATATCTTTGCCAATATTGTAATACCTACTTTAGAACTTCTGCACATCTTGTTGAGCATGTAAGGATTCATACTGGAGACCGACCTTATGCATGTGAAACTTGTGGAAAGAGTTTTGCTCGGAGAACACATTTGCAACAACATGTGCGCTCTCACACGGGTGAAAAGCCTTATGTTTGCAAGTATTGTGGAAAACCATGGGCTTCATCTAGCAACTTGGCTGAGCATGTGAGGATTCACACTGGTGAGAAACCTTACATGTGTCAGATTTGTGGCCAAGCTTTTGGGAAGAGGTCTGCTATGCAGGAACATTTGAAGGGACATCCTTCATCAGAATCAGAGGTGGCTACTTCAAGTACACCTTTACAAGATTCATCATCAGCAATTCCTGTAGCATTTCCCAGTTCAAGACAACTTCCCTTACCTGTTCCAAACATGTTGGAACACTTAAAAGAGCATCCTTCAATTGTTGCCAGCTCACGCACTCATCTCCCAGTTACAACACCTACTGGACTTTCACTACCACTTTCTGCTTCAGGACAACTACCATTATCAGTAACAAACATGTTAGCTTAATAATGGATAAAATAAATTCTCCAAGTTTCTGGATAAAAAGAATAATCACATAAGTTCCTATTCAGAGTTGAAAACTAATATAGTTATGTGTACTGCTCATCTTGTTTGTGTTAGTTGGTGAAGCTCTACATCCCTACTGATGAAGATAAAAAATAATGTTTTGTTTTATAAAGCAAGTGTAATATTTACTGATAGTAAATCAGTAATAAGCTTTTATACATATATCTTT